GTAGTGATGAACATGAAATTACTGCACAACAAGCGCTAATGGACCCCTAAGGATGAGAACAACCGTGTGCTAGACTTGAGCAAGTGAGAGAAAAAGACCCCGGTAACACGGGAGAAGATAATAGGCCCAGTGTGAACTCTGGAAAAGACCCCCGTGACAAGAGAGAAGCAGACCCCTCGCACCAGGGAGAAGGTCGCAAGAGTGCTAGACCCAATACATCCATTGGTGACAAAGATGAAGACCCAGTGTGAACTCTGGAAAAGACCCCCGTGATAAGAGAGAAGCAGACCCCTCGCACCAGGGAGAAGATCGCAAGAGTGCTAGACCCAATACATACATTGGTGGCAAAGAGAAATACCTAGTGTGAACACTGGAGAAGACCCGTGACAAGGGAGAAGCAGACCCCTCGCACCAGGGAGAAGATCGCAAGAGTGCTACTGTAGACCCAATACATGCATTGGAGACAAAGACAGAGAAGACCTAGTGTGAACACTGGAGAAGACCCCCGTAATAAGGGAGAAGCAGACCCCTCGCACCAGGGAGAAGATCGCAAGAGTGCTAGACCCAATACATGCATTGGAGACAAAGACAGAGAAAGACCTAGTGTGAACACTAGAGAAGACCTCCGTGATAAGGGAGAAGCAGACCCCTCGCACCAGGGAGAAGATCGCAAGAGTGCTAGACCCAATACATACAACATTGGAGACAAAGAAAGACAGAGAAAGACTGAAATGTGGAGATAACAAAAGGAATGCCTAGCACGTGGTACACGACTCGACGAAAAACAGGAAATCATTCACGAACTTGCGAAGACTGGTAGCATGCTTCTGAAAACGAACGACGGAATGTTGGGAGACGTCGCGAGGGCAGTCGGCGGCACCTTGGTGTCACCGCCGCTAAACCTGAGCGACCTCGAACAACACTTCGGAACCAAAATAAAAACACTTCCCAGGCTTCGAATCTCATCGACATCGTAGTCAACGGTGTGCCAGCGAAAATGCACTATAACCCGCCTAACCTCGAGAGCGCTCTCCGATACGGAAATCACAGTACGATAAACGCCCACACGGAACTGGCGTGGAAGAAGCTGATAGACGACGTCGAACAGAACAGATGCCTCGTATTCAACGTAGCGGACGCAGCTCGCGTGAATGGCGTTCGTGTATCGCCGCTGGGAACTGTGGTAGAAAAAACATCAGAAACATCAATGATTTTTTCTTTTGACCCCAAACAACTGCGCGGACAGAAGGGAGGAGTCTACGTGGATACGGTAGCAGAAGAAGTACCCGACTATTTGTGCGGAGAGACTCTACCTGCTTTCCTTTCTGAAATAACGCGCTTGAGAGTCACATGGACTGAGAAGAGGATACTAATAGTGTCCACGGCTGACGTGAACAACAATTACCGAAACGTAAAAGTCGCGCCAGACGATACACAAAAATTCTGCCATGTGATAAGAGACGTACTAGTCGCCGACGTCAGACCGACGTTTGGCTGGGCAGGTTCGCCCGGTTTTTGGGGAGTCATGGCATCCGCTGCTGAACATTCACACAGCAACACCAACGTGCACAACGTACAACTAGTAGACGAAGGGATCGAAATGATGGCACACGTAAAAATAGTCGAGCCGTGGGAAGACGGACCACCCGCCCGAGTGCCCCGAGATGCCAACGTGAAACCACATGACGGAGGCGGTCCGCACGATGATTTCTCGTGCGGGGTGTACGTAGACGATTCGCTTTGCTGAAAGTACAACATGCGCCAGAAGACGCTTCAGCGCTGGTAGCCTCCGCGTCATTGGGGCCAGCAGAGGCGGGCCAAACGCCCATTCTCGCCCCGAAGAAAAGCACAGGCTGGAATACGGAAGTGGACTTTCTCGGACACACGATAAACACCCATAAATGACGATCGCGACAACACGCGAGAGGATCAATGCGATAAGAACCGTGCTAGAGACCGATTGGCCACAGACCAGAAAATCCACCAATGTGCAGGAGGCAGGAGGTCCTGAGTATGGCAGGAAAACTCTGGAACCAGACGTACGTCATGAGGGCGGGGAAATATTTCGTACGCACCTCTTACGCCTCACCGGCCTACATGACAAGACTAGCAGACAGTCGAGAGAGAAGCGGCTGGTACGTCTCGGGTGGGAGTTCCACGGAGACCTAGACTTCTGGAGATGGGCGCTGGAAGCTACCCTCGCGGAGAAAGGAGAGTCACTTAGCGCGTTCTTCTTTAACCACGTCCAACGCACGCCTTTGCGTCACTACCTATCGGATGCTAGCTTCGACGCAGTGGGCGGACAATGTCCCAAACTGAAAGTGTTCTGGCGGTATCGATTGAATCCCGCGTTTACCGCAGAGCTGAAAAGGAAAGCAGAAGCCAAAGAAACCAGCGCAATCACGATCAACACGCTAGAATTGCTCGGAATGATAATTACATGCTGGGTGGTCCAATTGGTCGTGGGAGAAAAGCCGGCGCAACCCGGACACGCGATCATGATGAGGGGAGACAATGTGTCGGCGGTATCATGGGTGAACAGATGCAGGGGCTCGAGAGACAGGCGGGCGGGACTGCTCATGAGACTGCTTGATCGTATGGAAATATTGAAATCCAAAACGGATGGTGTCACGTGGCGAAACACATCCCGGGACGCGATAATACCCTCACGGACGGGATATCTACATGGAAGTCATAGCACGTAGGGTTATCATCATGCGTGAGTCGGCGAATGCAAGACATCGGCGACACCGGAAGAGAACTAATTGAAATGATACTGCAAGAGAAACTCCCGAACCAAAGAATGGATGGCCTCGCACGGAGCCGCATGGCAAGCGTGTAAAGAGAAGACGCGAAAAGAGAAAGAAGAGAATGCTGTGCGAAAGAACTGAAGAAGGTGTCGTGACCCCCACGTGTTCAAGAACAGGAAGCGAACACGGGACGAAGGGAACGAGCGATGAAGGCGAAAGGCTCCTCAGGATCATGGAACACGGCTCCCTGAACACGAGCAGCTGAAGGGATACCGCAGCAAGTGGGACACGTGGACAGCTGGAAGAGCTAAAGGGAATCTGAGTCCATGGTTGTATGAGGAGGATGGCGGGGATAGCGCAGTAAGAGAGCTGACTGTGTTTATGGCGTCGAGGTGTTTAGTGTTACAAGAACCAGAGCCAAACGGTGAAGGGGTACTTCCATAAACTGTACGCCGGCTAGGAGCTGCCCACGTCGCACTTCAGAGTGGTGGCTGTTGGGAACGTAATAGACAGACTGCATGCGAGGGCAGAGACGAAGCCGTTGGTAAGGCAACCGCTCACCGTGCCGATGATTATAGCGGGGAGAGAAAGAGCGCAGACGGAGGCCTTTAGACTAGTCGCGTGGATGGGGATCGCTCTCTCGTATTTGTTGCTGTGCCGAGCGTCAGAGCTGTGGGCACACGAGAGGGAACCTCGTATTCTTTGAGGGAGCGTGTAGGCTAGCGTGGGACGAAAGAAGGCGGGCAGACAGAGTAGAAGCGACCTTTCGCGCATCGAAAGCGGACCAAAAGAGGCGAGGCGCGGTAGTGACGAGAGAGAGAGAGAGTAATGCGGGACGAGGAAGGGGGACTGATGGCTGAGAATATGGGGGCGCTAGAGATTTTGCTGAATCTGCTTGACGTGCACCTAGAGTTAGGAAGTATCACGCCGCTGATGCAGTCGGTCAAGCAGGGACGGTGGGCAGTAGTGTCGAGGTCGGAAACAACAACAGCGCTAAGAGACATGGCGAGAAGAGTAGGAGAAAACCCAACGCACTTCGCGCTGCACTCAGGGAGGATAGGTGGTGCGACGCAACTAGCAAAGCAGGGTGCGTCGGTTTTTCAGATTCAGAAGGCAGGGAGGTGGAAGTCAGGAGTCTTCATGGCGCACGTTAGGACCGGAGGCGAGGGCGCAAATTATGTATCGCGCGCACTAGCGTTTAGCTGAAGGGGAGAAATAGCGTGGACAAGAGCGCCGAATATCGGGCCGCGCAAGGAGATACAACCTGGGAATAGACGTCGGGTTCGCCCGATAAGTGATGCCTAGTGAGTCCGAGAGGAAGTCAATGGCTCGGCTCATGGGTTGGATTTTGGTTTTGATATTTCTTGTGTTCGGCCTTTCTGGTTTCTTGTCCATTTTTCTAGTTCAAATTTCTTGAGCAAAACACAAACCTACCGACTGAATGTAGACCAAGTACCAAGTTATCCTTCCGGGAGTGTGTAGTGGGCTCACCATCAGCAGATCAGTAGAGCAGTAGTTTTAGCAGGACCAACCCACAGCTGTCTTCCAGCTGCAGTGTGACATTTCCCAAGCTCAACAATTCACACAGCGCTCACACAGCTGGCGTGTTTTGGCTCGAAAGAGGTCGTTCAGAAATCGACCCGTTTGTTATGCGGCACGTTCCACATCGTTTCACTTTCTGAAAGTGAAGCGGGCGATTTAATAAGCGCAGGACGGCTCTCGTCGCAAGGTATGGAAGGCATGACTAATAGTAGCGTCGTAGTCGAAAAATCTCCAACCTTTGGATATAGCAACAGCACGAGGTTCGTCCGCAGGAAGCAAGTGTCACACGCATGCCGATCATTGTACAAGGCAGGATATCGTACTCGGTGCGCTCTGCAGCTATTACGGAATCAACGGCACAAAGAAAAAAGAAACCTAAACGTCTATCTTTCAAAACACCAATGGTCCGTCAAACGTTTCTCCCTTCCCCAAGCAGAAAGAAACAGAGGAGTATAGGCATGACGGACATGTCACCGGTGTCCTTTTGAACCAATAAAAGCAACGGACTTCGCGTAGGTGTACCCGAAACAGCTTTCTACACGAGGGAACCGCCCATGCTAAACTACAGGCTGGAGCGGTACCTCTACTCTAAGCATATAAATATCATCTTAGCCCCAACCACACTTAATGGAGCCAAGTTTGTTTCGCCCTGCCCGTTGCACGCGCTCCAATGGATACTTCGGGCTTCTTGCCCATTCTGGTTTACTACTACGTCCGCTGTTGCCGCCCTCGAGATCTACCCCTATCCCGCATCAGCGTGCCCGCCCCCACCCCCACCCTCGACCCGCCTCCGGCTGCCGCAGTCTCCCGCAAAACGGTCAAAATTTCTGGGCCAAATCTGTCCCCACCCCCGTCGTCTCCACTTCGAGCAAATGACACTGCTGCCGCCGCCTTATCCCTGGGAGAAGAAGGTGATACCTTGAACCCACATTCGCTGAGGGGAGCACTTCCACCACCAGCGGCAAGCCTTGGGCCTTGTCTGCCTGGGATTCCAGAAACGCCACCACCCTCGCTACCAAAAATAGCGATAGTGCTTGTAGCCCCCGGGCTATTGCCTCTTGTACCCATGTCTTCACCGATGCTGCCGTTGTTGTTATGGCGGGTATGACTGCCGACACTAGCGTCACGACAACACCGGTGGATGCCGTTGCCACCCCCGCCACGGTCGGCGTGACATGGAGTCGGGGCAACGCCACCCTTCCGGCCTCGCTCATCGTCGGCTTCCGGGTTGGCCCCATCGCCATCCTGCAGAACGTTCTTCGACATGTTGACGATTAGGTCGTGGTAGTGCCGGAACCCAAGCTGCCGGTCGCGGGCTTCTCGGAGGGCCTGCATGAGGAAAGAGGGCGGGACAGACAGAGCGAGGTAAGCGTGCTACAGGTGATGCATCCGGTGTCGCCTGGGTAACGAGCGGAGGCGACGAATGCATTGGGAGGGATGCACGTTGAAGACGATGTGACTACAGCAGTTCGCGGTACTACGGGGACGGACAGCATCATGACGTGCAAATGGCCTCGGCTTTCATTCAGCGGCGGGCTAATTGCATCATGCCATGGAGGGCGAACGTCCGAAGCAGTATGTCCCTCGGGACATGGAGCAACTTCCATGCTCGATTGCCTACACCTCATGTGAATGTTGCTGCAAACGTTTTGATTACATGCGTTCAAATATAGCCGCAATTTTCGCGTGGCGTTCCCGATCCGCGTAAGAGCTGTCGGAGGAGCTACCACCTTCCCAACCCCGGGCATGAGGGTTTCCTCTAGCTTGGATTCTCCTTGCTTGATAATTGGATGAAAATTGCCCACAGCACAAGATGAATAAAATAACCAATTCAGCGCCAGTGATCGAGTGTACCAGCGCGAGGATACGTCAACGCACCGGTACCATGCGCCGTAGTGTTCCCTTAGCCCTTGCCAGCGCGGCCCGAGCTTCATCTCTCTGTCTCGCGAGTCCCTTTGCGCTCCCCGATACGTGTTCCATAGCCTCGCGCAGGTGCTTCATCTCTTCCTTGACCGCCTCCTCCCGTTTCTTCACAAACGAATAGACCGGGTACACAAGAATCCCAAGGGGGTGTTTCGTCCACACGATCGAGGGACAACGGCGAGGTTGTTTGATTATCAGGAGTCCCACCCATGCCACAACGGCGTGTGAACATGTACATGATGTTAATGGTAGTTTTTTAGGACTCAACTGCGTGTCGTGGTCCAACAGAAACAATCACCGCTTCCCCTCCACTCCAGCAAACCCGCCCTACCCCGCCCCAAAGAAGACAAATGAAGACACCAACCATACGAAACCGTATTAATTCAACCTGTGTCTCGTCGACCCTGTCCGCTGCCGCCGCGTCCAGCTCCTCCAATACCTCCTCTCTCTCGCTCGCTGCGGCTCCTACTCGCCGAAGTGCCGCGGCCGCCTGTCCGGCCACAACAGCGAGGGCAGCCATCTCTCTGCCGGAGAAGCCCTTGTCCGGTGGCCGATGACCCTCATCCCCTCTGTGCTGCTGCTCTCTCCATGCCTGGGGAAGGGCGGGCAAAGCGGCATAAGTTCCCACCACGCGCAGAGAGAGAGAGTGAGTGAGTGAGCGAATGTGGCGGAGAGCGGGGCGTTTTTGGTTGTTGCTCGGAGTGTTCGATGTGTGCCATGGTAGCACAGACGTGCACAAGGGCGAGAGTACATGATTATAGCAACGTTTTCACCCCTGCAGGCAGATATATCGTATGATCCCACGGTCAATGCAGCGTGACCTTGAAGCTTGGCTACCTAAAGATACGAAGCGACCTCTGAATCCGCTCAAGTCTGGAACATACGCAGAAAGAACGATCCACATCGCATCCCAGGCGACAGGAGTCATGAGGAGGCGGTGGACAGTACAGCGGCAGTTCATACCAGTCTTACGCACACCAGAAAATACCCTGTGGTCCCACCGGTATGAAATCAACCGCTCGATTTTTTTTTTTTTTGTTCTTCACTTCAAATCAGCGCTCACAGCACTAGTGCCGTTTATTCCGACCCGTGGTCACACAGAAGAGTCCCTCTCTACCTTCCCCTCCTGCGGTACTTTGCCTACGATTTTTAATGCAAGAAGAGTGCAGCACTCTCTTCCCTCTGTGTACACACGAACTAGCGCTATCCACTCGGCCACGAGCGGAGGCGAGAGAAAAACTCACTTTGCAAGAAAAGCTTGCCTACGCCGGGATTCGAACCCCTGACCTGACCTCTAGAAGGTTTCGAGGTTACCAACTAGACCACCGGGGCGACCGGCAATGCCAGGCGTTGATTCGGATGAGAAGTTTCGTTCACCCCAGGGACAAAAACAACTATAGCCCATAACTATAATCCTCCGAACCCAACAATAAGTAGGTGTTCAGCGAGGGATCGTGACGACCGTCATCTGCAGCATCCGTGTCAAACCAGTAGCCAACTTTCGCTTGCCTTGAGCACTCCCATCATGGCCTGACCTCCGTCCCCGCACGCAACAGGCAAACACGCAACGAACAACAGCTCCGCATCTTCCTCATCCTCCTCCTCCTCTCGACCTCCCATCCCGATCCCCCCAGCTCTCACGGGAGAAGGAGACCGCTGCCGCTGCCGCCGCCGCCGCCTCGGAGACGGAGACTCGGACTCGCTCCACCATCGCCCGCCCCCTCCCGGCGGAGGCGACTTCGACACGAACCCGTAACCCCTAGCAGCACCGGCACCGGCACCGGCACCAGCACGGCCAGCAGGGGAAGGAGATCGTGACGACCCGCAGTCGTCACTGGCCGGGAAAAATGCCAAGCGGGACGGCCCACGCCCGCTGCCGCCAACACCGGGGACCGGCGACCCATCCGGCGAACGGCTGCGACGGTGGCTCCAAGAAGCAGGCGGCGGAAGCAGCGTCGACGCGCTGTCGGGGCTGGGGCCTGTGACCGCCCGCTTCTTCCAGCCTTGGAAAGACACAGACAGCGGCTGTGCGTGGGCTCCGTTTGTAGCGGCGCGGTGAGAAGGTGACTCGGGATCGTACCTCTCCTGCGGCGGGAGGGCGTGGAGGTCCGCGGGACCCGCCAGAGCGACATCGAGCGCTCCGCTGGTGCTGTAGAGACGGCGGGACGAGCGGGGGGGAGATGCGCCACCAGTGCTCCCGTTTCCGCCACGCCTCGTTTGGAAGGCGAGGCCGGTCGCGACGCACCGAGCGACGAGTCCGTTGCCGATGGGAAACGACGCCTCCAAAGGGTCTTGGTCGGGCGGTGCCTTCGTTTTGTGTATCAGGTTGCGGAGAAGCATGTACGGCGGGGTGGGCAGTAGGCGGACCGGCGTAGGACGAACAGTATGACAGGATTTATTAGGTTCGATGTCTGGCAAGGATGGAGGAAAAGCAGGCAGAAGTCTTGCGTCACGGACTTGGGGGCGAGGGTCAGCGTCAATACATATCTTCCCAGCACATCTCTGTATCGTCACTAACGTTTCACTCTTCCCAGCATACGATTGTCCTTGTCCATGTAGAATGCAAGCACCTCGTACGACTAAATACAGTTTTGTGATTTGTTCTTTTTGGTTTTTTGAGGTTCGCCGGGCTCTTCGAGTCGAAAAACACGTCAGCTGTATGCGCTGTTCGAGCTTGGTAAACGCCACTGATGGCAGCGTGGCAGATTTGCTTTTATCTTGCATCACGCCTTGATGACACTACTACTATGCTCTGGTGAGCCCACTCCGAAGGCGCGCCATACACAAAACTTAAAATCAACAAACAATCAAGATCAGCCCGACGGAACTCACCCGCCGGTCGGACTCGAGGCAAAACATGCCACCCCCGGGCTCGCCATTCAGCAGGAGCAAACGCCCCCGCGATGAAACAGCCACCTCCGAAACGAAATCTTCCACGAGCGTGAACACTTCCGGGATCTGAACGGCACATTGAAATAGGGATACACAGATAGACAACGGGCGAGGGTATTGTCGCTCTGGCAGAGGGGCGAATCGGTTGCTATGGAGAGGCGAAGGTTCTTTCGTGCTCAACGTTCGGCACAACAAGAACATTCGTGCAAGTATCATCAAGCTTCACAAGCAACCCCCCCTCATGGACGGCCACGCCAACGAACGAACACAAGCAGCAGTCGCAAATACATCCAAGTGTACAGACCAAACCAATCCACGGACACTAGTACGAGCCCCCGATCTACGCATACGCTTCTTGCAATCGCCGAAAACACCCAACCCGTCTCCCGTCCTCACCGAAGAAGCCGTCGAAAAAGCGGCCGCCGCTTCCACGAACGCCCCCGCCATCGCTTCCAAGCCATCCGCCATCCCACCGCCCCTCGGTTCTCCGTCGCCACCACGCCCGCCACCACCGTCACCATCACCGCCGCAAGCGTTCCGTCTCCACGTCCTCAGCGCCAGCCGCATCTCCGCTCTGTCGGACTGCCTCCGGTCGGAAGCCCTCGCCAGCGCCGTCAGCGCCTTGGCCTTGCCGTGAGCCTGCCGGGACCCTTCCCTCCACGTCGAAAACGCCTCCGATACGAGACTCTGGGCCGCCTGGGAGATGCGGGAGAGAGCGCGCGATCGGAGCCTAGACGAGGCGAGAGCTTCTCCTCGCCAGCTGCCGAAGACTTCATGCAACCGCCGCCGTCTGGACCTTTTCGCGGGCGGCAACGGCCGGAGGGGGGGGGAGGGGGGGGGGGGAAGGGGGGGGGGGGGCCC